ATCACCTTCGCTTGTTTCCTCTTCTGAACGTTAGAAACTGATGCCGGGCTGACCATTAAAATCTGCGCTGTGTCGTGAATTGTCCTCCCCTCTTTTTGCATATTCAGGATGGCCTGCTGTTCTTGAACAGCAGGCCATCCTTTGATGCCAGCCTTTGAAGGGTCAAAGATTTTCCCCTACTCCGACGCGTTGACACGATGTCGAAGGGAGTAATGTGGGCTCATAGGGCCATTGTTACCCCAAGTATGGGAAGTAATACCTCCTACAGTGACATCTCTCTAAAAAATTTGTGGATGTACTATACCTTCGTCCAATGCTTTATAAAGTTGCTGCCAGGGGCAAAAGCAGATATTAAATTAATGCAGAATCAAATCGATATCTCACGTGTTGTTAATTTACAATTTAAAACCCTATATTGGGTTTAAACGTAGAAACAATGCTTTCCGCATTGAATGGACCATATTACATGTACACGTGAAGCCGAGTGTGCCGATGAATGAGGATCAAAATGCCTGCGCGAACGATCATGGATTTCCCCAGTAGTCGATACGTAAGTGGGCTCAGCTGTGCTAGCGGACGCTTCTGATTAAAAAAATACCACTCTGCTTGATTCCAATACGTCATGGGCTATGGCGCCCCTCTTCTTCATGAGAAGTTCCTTGGCTTCAGGGGAAGGAGGGATATTCTTTCATGGCTGAAACTCAAGTTTTTTTTTGGTTTGCAGTCTACGTTCTTCTTGAAGCATAATTTTTTTTTCAGGCTCTGACGACTCATGGAGACCCGGATTGCATCGCCAATCGAACCGAAACTTATCGCCAGGCCTCCCTACGACCATCATGGAAAATCATACTCATTTTATCCAACTCCTCCGTGCTGGTTGTGGAAGTCCCTCACTTCTACGACTGCGGAGGCACAAAAATCTTTAGCTTCAATTACAACCCAAGCGGACGATGTTCCCAACATGACTTGAACACGTGACCGCCTATCCTTCCCACGTGGTGCCATCAACTTCTGAGGGCGTTGCGGTTTCTTCACGCCTACCACACGTAATGATCTCTTGGCTTGCCCGTCCTGCTCCTTCACCTTTTCTATTTTACTAAGAATTTATTTCCTGATGGGGTGACTGTCAAGTGAAAAATTAAACATGGCTTATTCTGTGTACTAGACCAAGTTCGACGATTCACTACCAATTTTTTTTTTTTTGCCCTGGAGAGAATTCCTAGCCGGTGATGAATGTTCTAATTGCTCTGCCAGGGTCGGACTGGCCCACCGGGATAACGGGAAATTTCCCAGGGGGCTCTCGTACCCGGTGCGGGGCTCCTTGGTCTGCATTATGGGAGGGTTGCAGGGGCCCTTTGCCAGCAATTTCCCGGGGGGCCATAGGTCGCCAGTCCAACCCTGGGCTCTGCCTGTAAAAGTTTTTTCTTAACAATCAAAAAAGCTTCTTTTCTTTTTCAACTGTTTCGGACTCTATTATTCCAGAACAGCAGACTGGCAGCGGGTGGTTTGTTGCATGCACTTCGAATCAAATAGGTGAAGCCCGTGCAGGCACCGGAAAGGGTGCAGGTCTTGGGGTCGTTCATGCCTCTGTCTTTCATTCCGAGAACGAATTCCTATTCACATGAGCGGTTTTTCTCCCATTCCCGTGAGCCGCCTTTTTTATTATAAAGAATCAGTCAACCGTTAACCTGTGAGGAAGGAATGGATAGCAATGGACGGGGGTTCGTGTTAGATTGTATATATGGTGGAGTAGTTTGTCGAATTCCAAAATAATTTTCCCCACAATATACCTATGGAGCAACCAAGTCAGCATTCTCTCCATGGGATTCACTTCTACTGCGTGAATGCTCAGGGTTGCATGAAGACTGAATTATTGCACAATGCCAAAAAAAGTTAAGTTTGCATAGGTAAACTAGTGCTGGAAATGCACACATATCACACATGTAAAACATTATGGATGGATTTGACTCGTGCAACCAGGGGAAATCAGGCTAAAAGTGTTCTACATGACCAGCGCTAAACAAAATTGTCCATATTGACCTAAATAGTAAATACTTCATTACCCTCCATTTCACGGCAATTATCTTGCAATTTCATCGGTGCAAGCAATGTTGCAATCATGTAAGCCTTTTGCATTCATGTCAGCAGAAGAATGCTCACCACTTTCAGATCATATAGCATCACTTTATTGAGAAATGAATAGCTTCTGAATTCAAAGAAAGACATGGCATGACATATGATGATGAACATTTCAAACACTGTTACAAAATCAATATGAGAAACCATAAAATTGCAGGATGTGAAGTGCATATCCACCTCCTCCTTGCAATTAGATTTCCCAAGTGACTCAGACACCATCCTGAGGTGAATAAGGCTGGAAGGTACGGACAGGGATTATATCCCATTCTACCTTACAGGAAACCAAATCTCAAAGAAGGTACAATGGACAAATTAGGTATTGCTATCCGCATTTGCAGATGTCATTCCATTACCACCAAATCAGAGAATGATGGAGATGATCCATTTACACGAACATGCCAGATTGTGGGGCGTTGGACAATGGCATGCCTTGCTGTCCTTGATGGCATCATTCTGCAATGCACAGCATTTCCTTCCCATTTAAGAGCTTCACAATGAAGACCAATATTATTTGTAAAAAAAATATGTAAAAGGAAAAGAGAACCACTGACTATATGAACCTATAGTGATAGCATATATTAGGGCATATTGGTAATGAACTGCTAAACAGATGGACAGCCTACATGGAGCAAGAATAAAAATCAATAGTAAAACTTGCCAATATAAGAAGAAAAAAATTCATAGGTGAATCCAGTGCAACCTTGGCATCAAAGCAGTCAGACATAGTGATTGTCCTACATCCTTCGATAAAAAAATAGGTATTCGATGAACATTCATCCATCCAAGACTGGCAACTTCAACATCCCTTCAATATGTGATTTCGTAGAAGAATTTGAGCAAGGACAAGCATTATCATCCCAGTATATCCCCAAACAGACTATGAAAGCATCTGGCCCTATTTTGAAGAGAAGGGAAGGAGTAATCACTTTAAAAAATATCAATGTTTCCTTCTTTACACTACCCAAGAGACTGGATATGATTCTCACAAAGATAGCAGAAACTAGCCTTGAAACAGGCATGTCTACTGCATTTGAATTACAGGCCTAAGTAATAAAAAAAAGAAGCAGTTTCAATGTAAAACCAACTAATGTATAATCTGAATTGCACCAGTTTTTTTGTTCTCTTCCCTATTTCAACACAGCAGCCTTGTGAAAGTATCAATTATGTCTGATTTGATTAAGACATAGAATATTATACAAAGAGGAGAAAACTACAAAATGGTCACATTACTGTGACATCAGGGAACACGAGTACTCACTCCCATTCTTCTTTCACTTTACCAAGTACAAATTCCCAAGCTCAACTGCAACAACACTGCCAATGGGTTTCACTTTCATACTGTAAGAACAATGACTCAAAATGACATTTTAAAAGAGCTTTAACTCATTGTAAGTTATGCAGCTAGTGAAGAAAACAAAAACTAATTTTATACAAGCCAACCTCTCTACTTGCCCACCTCCTCCAGACTCCCTTACACTCATTCCATGGTATCACCTCCTGCCTGATAGACTTATTTCAGCTGACATGATACTGCAGCCCATTTAGAGTGAGTGATTGACTTTCCCTAATTTAAATAAACACTTTTACAAACCAGTTGCTTCACTCAACAATACCAATCAACCTGTGTCTATAGGATTTCAAAATATAAAAAAAAATGGCAAAAAAGCATTTTCTTTCAGAGCAGCTATTGTATGAAAGAAAGGGACATCATCAAAGCACCTGCCATCTGAAGCAACAGTTTCCAAGTCTCTAGCATCTGGAATATGCAGTGCCTCCAGCCTGATGATTACTCAACTTCTCCCAGCATTCTTGGTCTATTGCATATTGGCATTGCAGGCCAATCCATGCTGCCTAACTGTCTCATTTCCTGTTAACCACATACGGAACAGTCACGTAAAGTCTGAGTGACTGGGCATTCCTTCTGATTTGTCATTCTGAGTGACATTATACCTATAATATTTATAAACATAAAGATAAAAATTAAAGAAAATTTCTCAAATTAATTACTTAAATGTGGTACCCCAGCAACTGAATAATGTCAATGCCAATGGGCTAATTCACATTGGAAGCAGGTTCCCAGTGAGTTGTGATAATCATGAGATAATTGAGCAGCACTCCAAGCTGGACAGGCAATTTGCTTAAACCATCTCTTCCAAAGGTAATAAAGGGACAGTTAAAATCAGACAATGCTCAAATGGAATAAATTTTAAAGCAATAAAAATGAGACATATATGACAGACGAATGAAATATATTGTTCATTAATAAAATGAATAAAAAATAAAAGTCATACTAACATAACATTAAATCCTACAGACACAGGCTGAAAAGTAGAATGGAATTCTTAATATTTAAGACTGGCAGGTAAGACCAAAGCTGCAATTCAAAAGATTGATCTTGTGAATTCAGGCATAATGCTCAGATTTTTAGACACATATATGTGGGTAACTTTTTAATGAATAGAAAAAAAAAACTTTTTGGAAAAATATAGGGACCTACTGAAGATATTCTGAATTTCAAAGAGCAGAATACAGTATTGAACAATTCATTTACAAAGTACGTTCCAAAAAATTAGAGTGATGGGTCAATTACATTGTAGCAGAATCTACAAATGAAGGGATATGCAAAAGATCTCCTATCTGTCACACCTTCACAAATAATGACACAGCTCAATTCAACAAGACCATCAGAATGTCAAACTTATGACTAATGCTCTTTAACTTCAAGCACAATGGCACAAGCTTTCAAGTTGGTTGTAGTTTCCCACTATGATCTATTTGAGTGTCTATACCATTTCCATTGATGCAAGACAGAATTTAGAGACTGAAAAGGCAAGTTAATTTCACCTCATGATGATAAACACCTCATTGTGGCAGAAAAAAGGGAAGAGCATCTGTAGGTGAATACTATGCACTTGTAAAAAAAAAAACCTCTACTAGGAGAAGATGTACTGGGAGATAATATGGGAAGGCTTTAAAAGTCAAGCATCACTAAAAAAAAAAAAAACACACACATTCAACCAAGTGGTCATGGATTCACATGTTCAGGGCTTCAAATCACCCTCTACATTGACTCAAAACATTGCACTGTTTCCTTCTTTGATTCATGTCCAAGTTAGAAGTTCTGAGTATTGGAAGCAGATCTTTCATCAGAATATAAAAAATCCAGCTAACACTTCTTGAGCAAGAAGGAATAGTGAGCAGAAAAACTGGAAGCATAGCTAATGAGGGGGAAGTGCCAGCTAACTAGAAGGGTGTACCTTCACATGGAAGAAGTACTGCATAGGCAAAGAGGGTGCTAAAACTTAAGTGAAGTATATAGAATCAGTATACTAGAGACATTCACTTGTCACCAAAATTACGGAAGGTCGAAATAAGGAGGGGAAAACACTGCTGACAACTATTACAATTATGAAGACAGAACACACAGGGAGCCATGGTTGATCACAGACCAGCGATGTACTTTTAAATGTTGAGCACAGAAAATAAGTCATCAAGCTACATACACAGCACAGTGGCTGCATTGCATGACTAAAATCCATGTCTTGCCTGGCAGCAGTCCTGTCCTACTGTGCCAAAATACAAGCAAGTCCCTGTCAACAAACATCAATGACCCTTGTGCTTGCTGCTGCACTAGCCACAAGAGTGGTTTTGACTTGAGTTCACACACAGCTTATTGCTACACAATGCATATGCATCTAACAAACATCCAACAATTTAAAAGGGGTTCCAAAGCAAAGTGGTATAACTTCATCCCTTTTTAGACTAATGGTGTTCAAATGGTGCTTGTAGCTCAACTTAATTGAAGTGATACAAACTTGGACACAAAAACAAAGCCAGGACAAAAAAAGACATAAGAAGACCCAGAGATTCCAACAAAAACTTATTCAAGAAAAGCTATTTTTCTTGAAATTAAATTTCTGCACTGCCTACCGCTTTGCTTCTGAGCCCTTCACATATCCCATAATGAAAAATTTAGTTTGGCCATCTGCCAGTAGACCCATGGACAATAACAGATCCTATATGTGGAACTCAATACAAAATCTCAACAGATGGCAAACCATACACTACTATTCAGCTTGTTCAAACTCAAACTGAAAGATTTTTTTCCTATTAGCTCTTTGGTCTCCACTGAAAAACTATACTCTAGAAAGAAAAAAAACCTACAAAGAAACTCAACCATAGCAGATTATCACCAGGCCCACTATGATTTCTGGCAACACATTGCAGAACCACTGTCTGCCAAAGCTAGTGCCTCTCTTGTGTAATAAGAAAAAAGTATCAGGAACAACATAGATGTGCTCCTAAATGGGTGGTATATGGCAATGAAGGAGCAGCTGACACCGAACGGATTCACACAGGAAGGTTAACAAAGGCAAGTGGGAAGAAAATACTGCCATGATGCTATAAAATTTTCATGAAGTCACTTGATGGAGCAAGGGACATAGGTCAAAACAGAGAAAGGAAGAAAAGGCCCAGGTGGGAGATAAATAGCAACTTGAGTTGCCATCAATGTGCTCCCTGTAATGCTCGATGAGCCATTACATCATGGAGCTTTGTATTGAAACAATGAGAGAAAGACTTCCTGGATCCTCCCATGGAGTTTGTTGGACTTTCTAAGATGGAGAAAAACTTATCAATATCCATGGCATCTGTTGGAAGCTTGGTCAGGAAGCGTGCACAAGTGATGAAATCCATTTGAAGAATGCTTGGTTCATGGTAGCGAAGGATACCTAATGAAAAGCATGCAATGAAAATTCAAATGCTTAAAATTTATCAAGACTCATTCAAAGAGCAGTCATTAGACTCATTCAAAGAGCAGTCATGTAACACTTGTTTCCAAACTCACCAATTGCTACTTGAAAGAGGAATTCATCCTCATCCCTGAGGTAGATATCCCAAATTCTGCAGGAAATGTCCAAGGGAAATGGCTTTGAGTAGATGGAGAAAAGCCATTCCAAGAGATACAGGTTGGGTCCAAGGTTTATGTTGGATAAGTGTTGGGCAACAACAGGCAAGCAGCTCTTCAGACACTCCTCATATGCTTCAAAGTAGGCTTCCATCTGTTACAAGAAATTGAACATTTATTTCTTGAATGTTTCAAAAAAGTATCAAGATTCCATTGATCTATGCAGAAAATGCTTACAATGGCTTCATCAAGGGAGAACATTGCCCTGAGAAGTGGACGAGAGAGGAGGTTTGCAAGAGCAACAAAGGCATCCTCCTGCTCCATTTGCAGGAGAAGGATGGCACCCAGGAAAGACATCCCCTGAACATATCCCATGTCAGGGCGAAGGCACACATAGGCACACAACAAGTCGTGCAAAGAGTCATGGTATGGACCACCCTGCAAGGAAATTTCAATCAATAACTTGAGTTGCAGAGTTTTTCAGGAGGGTTTGACTTTTCACTGAAGTCCAATAAAATAACCTCAAAATTACAGCATGAAGGCAGCAATCAAGAGCTCAGTCTGCCTTAGGTATATCAGAGTCTACTGGAAAAATGCTAGCCTCATTATAAAGCTCTGTAAAGTCATATCCCATCCTCAAAGCAATAGAGGCTTCTTACTTTTAATTTAAAAAAGAAACCATTTTTCCCTATCACTCTGACTCTTCAACCCATCAATCACAACCAGAATTACTGAAGCACAATACACTTAGTATTACTTAATCTTAACCCTTAACTAAATCAAATGGCTTTTATTCTCCTCTTACCCAAAGAAGTTAAGATACTCTTACAAAACTAAATCTAGGGCAAATAATCCTGATGCTCCTGCTTTTTGAGTTCCCTTGGATGCTTAGGGCAGGATATGTGAATAGGTGTCAATGGTGAAGGTATTAACTTCTCTGCTAGGTAGACTTGGTAAATTACCTTTTGAAAAATGCCAAGCATTGGGAATGTCCGAGAGATATCCAAGCCAATAGACTTCAAGGTGCCTTCTTTGCATGTATGATCCATCACCTCTGTTTCAAAGCTTTCATTGAGTCTCTCTCTCGCCCTGCACATTTGAAGAGATCAACAAATCCTCAGTTTTGATGCAATTCTTTCTTTAATAAAAAAATATATATATAAGAGATATAGCAGAACCCACCTCTTCAATGAGACATCATACATCTCATGGGTGATATTGAGGTTGTTGCCAATGGCCTTTTTCCAGACAGTTCCCCTGACACTTGAAGGCAACCCCTTGAACCATAGGTCTCTTGTTTTCTTTGTATCTTTCCTACAAATGGAAGCACAGCTTATTCTGCTTTCAGTAACATAATAATAAAATAATTTAAAAAATTAAAATCTTTCAATTGAGAAACTTTCATTCAAACAACATTCTCATTCAATTCCTATCAGCAGTAAAAAATAAAAAAGGGTAAAGAACCTGAATTTGTTATACAAAAGCATAAATTGACAATTTAAACAACAGTCCTGTGAAATTTCACTCTAAACTGCACCCCAAAGAGACTAAGTTACATAGATAGGTGAGTTTGTTTTCAAAGCAATCAAAAAACTCTGTCACTGTTGCACCCTCCATTTCCTCCTTTTTTGGTGCAATAAAATACTTACTTTATGGCTGCATATGTGATGCCAGAATAGCTTAGCCACTAGGGTTTTGGGTGGGCTAAAAAATAATTTTACAGAATGTTTTTCAGGGTCCACAAAGCATCCACAGACAAATTACTTACATGGTTGCCCAGTGAGGAAGAATCTGGGAGGTCCAAATTTTAGCAACCCTACTAACTTCTTGTTCTGCCTGGAGTTGTTTCTGCTTTTCCTTCTCCTTCACTTTGGCCTCACTGAACTCTGCATAAAGAAATAATGACATCAACACTTGATAATAAAGACTGCTCTTACTTTAGAATATAGTAGCAACCAAGATTTCAAGATGTATTCCCACACCCCAATAAAGGTAGACATTACCAGTGTTTCGACTCTAGGGACACCTATGTAATGACAGTTCAGGTTATATGTGAGATGAGGAAACATTAGCTCTGCTGGCATTGGGAAACCAAAAGAAAACATGATTTGCATTAAATGTGTGTACCCATCTCACTGTCCCTGTAGTCAGATAATACAGTCTTCAGTGAAGACATCAATCTTCACTATTCTCATTCGTTACCTTAGAGATAGTTCTGTCAACTTTTTGGCACATATGCAAGGAAAACTTCTAAGACAAGCAGTCAATTAGTTTTCTAAAGGTGGGCAAAACTTTCAGGGATAGGTTTCACCCTTCTCCTGCAATATAGGCCTTCATCTATATGAAATGCCTAAGCTTGAACTATCAAGAGGTCATGGTGTAAGGATACCAGGCCAAGAACCTGCCTCCCCTGCAAGATACAACTTCTGCACCAATGTTGACTCAGTATGTATGCCGCCCCATTCATGTTTTACCCAAAATGTATTAATAAGTGGCATTCAATGGCTTTTATAGCATAGTCATAATATTAAAACTCAACAAAGTCAATAAAGTTATGGGAGAATCCTACCCATACCACTCTGATTCTGCTACAGAACCTCAAATCAAAAACGCAGCAACCTAGAACTTTTATTTCTCTCTCAATCCTCAGAGTGGAGCTGGTCAGTTGATTTTTGAGTCAAGGCCATCACATCTCCCAACAAAAGCAGAACATGAGGAAGCCAGGCATGCTCACCTCTACAAGCAAATGCTGGCAGCTGCTCGTAGGAAAGGTACCCCTCCCCCCCCCCCCCCCCCCCCCCCCCCCATTGAGTCCATACCTTTCCTACGAGCAGCTGCCAGCATTTGCTTGTAGAGGTGAGCATGCCTGGCTTCCTCATGTTCTGCTTTTGTTGGGAGATGTGATGGCCTTGACTCAAAAATCAACTGACCAGCTCCACTCTGATCACCACATGGAGATGGACTACTGCTACTTCGACTCCCAGACTCAATCTTCAGGCATGGAAGAAAATACATGATTCTAAAGGAAACATAGCAGGCAGTGATAAACATAACTCTTAATAAGACTCACTTCACGCTGGCTGACTCTGTGGAAAAAGGGCCATGATCCCTTGCCACTCACTTTGGCCTGTGTATCACATGTCTGGGTTGTTGGTGAATGTCTCCAGCTAAGAAGACTCCTGTTTAAAACAACAATCACTCACAGAAAGGTTTCTCTAGCTCATGAGATTCATGAAAGACAAGAATAATAGGCATTCATATGGAAGAAAAAACAAACAAAATGAGAGAAATGAATAACAGCAGTTTACAAGACTTAGGCTATAGCAAGAGACTGGCAACAATGGTCAAATTTGACTGGCCTCTTAATTTTTTATTTATTATTAAGACTTTCCTTACTTTGGCAGCAGAGTTGATAGACCCTTCCTCTTGCGCTTCTCACCAGGGTCTGGGTTGCTCACAACAGAATACGCAATCACATGCGATCCATCTTCTGAAAGGTTTGCACTATTCAGCACTGAAATGTCAGTTGAAGCACTTAAGCTGGAGATGCTACTGAATGAACTGTCATTTGTATGAGAGAGTGACAAGCTTGTTTCTGTCCTTTCCAATGTACTATGACGGCTCCCACTGAAACCACTGTCTCTCTCCAGCTTATCATTGCCACTACTGAGAGTACTTCCAAGTAGAAACTTGCCATCAATATTCAATCCTTCCTGGGGTGTCATCTTAGACAGAGAGTCCTCATCACTCCAATGAAATGATGGCCTCATGTCCAATGGGACCGAAGCCCTACATTCACAGCCATCACCATCTGGACGTCTTTGAAGTTGCTTGGTGATGGGGTTGTAGATCAAGTCAAGTTTCTGAAGAGCATCCAATAATGAGCTCTGGCCTTTAGGCCGAGGCTTTAGGTGGAGATCACATGGTAAACTTTGAGTCTCTTTCACATCAATATCATTCAGATCACACCTGGTATTTCCTATCTTACAATGTGATGCACTTTTCTCCATCTTGAGGGTTGACTGTGTGTGTTCTCGACTAGATGAGGGATACTTCATAGCATTTCCTTTCTTGATTGCTACAAGAGAGCAGGAATCAGCATGATCCCAAGAGACAGCTCCAACGATTCCTTCACCATTATGGGGACCACGAAGGCTGCCCTTGCATGATGTTCGGATGTAAGGCCAGGAGTTATGCCCCGAGATGTTTTCAATGGAGCTTCCCATCCATTTGGTAAATATGTCAGCTATAATTGAAGTAACATGAGATATGATGGATATGCCCTGCCTGCAGGCCCATGCACCAGACTAGGCCTCCAGCCCAGTTCAAGTACACTCATTGAAATTGGGACATTATAGGGCTTCTGCTCTCTCCTGAGGACCTAATGCTAGGCCCTATGATACTAGACTTTATTACAACCTATGGATTAAATGAAAAGAGAACAAGTGATTACAACTGCAAGTAGATGAGTGTTGAGTCTCATGAGGAAGAACAGAACCTAGCCTATACCTCAGTCAGCCAGCATTCACTCATTCATATATTAGGTCTGACCTTACTATCACCAACTGACTTGTGATTATGGTTCATTATCAGCAATACAGTCACCCAGAGTAAGTGGCTAGTTTATGAAAATCAATCTGAGACTTATTTTGTTTATAACTAGAGAGCAACATTATGTATCTATGTGCTTAACTAAGAGATCATATTCATAAAAATGATCCATTAAGCTTACTCTGGCAAATATCTAGGTAGGTATAACATCTAATTAACTAGTAATTTATTAAGCCTAAGTGAAACAGATATAATCAACCAACTGTCAGCTGCACATGCCTTCACCTTACTGTGAGTAGGTTGATGTTGGATCCACCCATATATTTGTTTTTACTTCATAATCTTAAATGAATTTGCATTAAGATATCCTAATGAGTGGAATCAATCCAAAAAGTTGTCATTCTGAGGTCACTTTAAGTTGGGCTCTTAAATCTGTCACACACCTCTGTGAATTTTCCAGTACCTTAACTACAACAACTTCCTTGGATCATTAAAAAACCAACCCTTTGTGACTGCAACCACATTTGGTCTAACTTAATTACCAATATGCTTTTTTCCAATGGGTTGGATAACTAAACTTTCGATCTGTTCTTGTTCAAGCAGTCCTTTTTCACAGCTAAAATCCAATATTCCAATACATGTAATAGAATTACTTGCAACTCAGATGCCACAGCAGCAATGTATTATGATCATTAATCAAAAGTAGAATCTCTCATCTCTGTCATCTATTTTCTTTCACAGCTACTTCTCATTCTTAGTTCTTTACCCATTGGCTACCCAAGCATAGGCACCCACCTCTCAAAAGATTTTTTTTTTCTTTTATTACAGCAAATAGAGGGAAATCCAAGCTTGAACCACCATAAAAGACACTTTTATGACAGGTATGACTGACAATTGAATAAAAGGTACAGCAAATGCATCTGACAAGCACCATTACTTTGGTTGGTCAATTTGCCATTTCCCTACTGTTCAAAGTGAAGGATAGGGATGGAGGCAAGCCCAGGTAAATGTATCTCAAAACTTCAATCTGATCACACCATTGATTAGTTTAGCTTTTTCCTATGAAAGAAATAGCAATTTTACAACAGTACTGCCTTCTCATATATAAATAACTTACTGAAGCTGTTATGTATCTCCTCTGGTCTGTCTACATGTAAAGAGTAAAGGAAAATACTTCACACCATCTACAGGCCTACTCAATGCTTCAGCTGCTGCTAAATTACAGACAAAATACAGTGATTTTCAATTAATTGCACCCCCCTATCCCCTTCGGAATGGTCCCGTCACTCAACTGAACATTTGCTGTCTCAAAATAACTGCCCCTGGCAGTGACTGACATGGGAATTATGTACTTTCAACTTCCACCACAGTAGGGGGGAGATGCAATAAATTGAAAATCATAGCATTATGCCATAGTCAGTCAATAACTACAGTCTACTACAGGCCAATGTCTCCTATGCAAAAGGCCAATATCTACCATGAAGCTGTCCAGTCATGGCAGTCATTCCACATTTTCATGCCTGAAGGTTGTCGCCACATTATTTTCCAAGCTGTCATTGTTACGCATGCATCAAGGCCGTCCCTTCACCTCAATTGAGTCATATCGGCAGCGATTTCAGACCTAGCCTAGCTATGGATAGGTTCAAGGTTAAGTCAAAGTCCTATGATAAGCCTAGGTTACTTGTCGAGATTCTCGGACCGACACCCACAGACAATGGGATGCTGAATCAGGGGCCACTGGGCACGCCCTGATTCTCTATGAGGATGCCTAGCCTCGATTTTGTCCAATTAAACGACGCGTCAAAAGATATATACGTTCTCGAAGGGCAAAGAGGAGACGGAGCATCCACCGGAACACACATGACTCATCTCCTGTCCCTACACATTCACAGCAGGAATGGCAGGAGAGGCAGGCCTTTTAGAATGCTTACGCTATTACTCACTGGCAAATTGGAGCAGCAATAGCTAATGAGACGCGTCGACGCCATGACGCATGTGAACCATGCATGTTTCACACGCAAGCATGCGCACTGAGCTTCGCTCTCAGGGACGACGTGCGCTTCTCCGCAATGGCTTGTCTGGCTCTGCTGCCAGATTAATGAATACGCGAACCAGGCGCACGCCCAGGGGCGCCAGGCCACTGGATATCACAGAAAACGAAAGAATTCTGCGCCGTAAAGTTCTCGACGAGAAGTGTGTCACCATCTCCCTCCGCCTTGCGATGTCCCATATATCGGGGTAAATATTAACCCCTTCGATTGCGATGGAAGAGGGTTAATATTTTACCTAATGGCTATAAAATAGCCATCTAGCCATATCGGGGACACCCACCAAATACGGCTACACGATACCTTCATGACTACCAGGTCGGAACAGATGCCAGGTAGTAAAGCTGGGACACCCGCACGGGCCTCAGTCCACAATCACCCAAAACCCCAACGTGCCACTCACTGGGGCAAGCTCGAAAGTAGCTGCCTCTTCCCCCCCTTCGTCGCTGGAGGATCCTCCTCTCGCCACCCCGAAAGGAGATCAGTGAAAGAGGCGGCCGACGCAGATGACATGCAATCGAAACCAGTTCGGTAGTTTCGGATCGAGAGTGTCCGGGGGAGGGGGGGGATGCCGAAAGCGAAAGTGCACCCGTTTGTCCGCAGCGCCGGGATGTCTCCGTTTTGCTTCCATCCGCGTTCGCAGTCGTCGGAATTCGGCGCTCGACGCGTCACGGTACCTGATTACTCTTCACGGTGGTCGAGTTACTTCGCAGGGGAACGGAACTAATTCAGTTCTCGGGGAAAAAATTAATTGGAGCCACCGTGACTGCACTGATGAAAAACACGTGGAAGACGGTGAGGGAAGGACGGCGATAACCCCGTGCGGGGGCCCCCGGGGGGGAAATGAAAAAAGATTTCCGGCATGCTTGCGGTTCTAATTTATCACTCGATGGACTTTCTTTCCTCTAGCCGAGGGGAGTCCAAACGATCGACTCCGCTCGTAATCTTTTTTCTCACGGATTCTCAGGAACTCCGGTGGTTCCGTACGGTACCGATCAGTACCTTAGTTCCGCAGTAAATTAGTTCCGGAGTACCGCAGTTCCGCTGCGTTTACCGTTCGTTGGCTGGACAGGAAACGGACCCGAAGGCGGCACCGGCAGAAGGTGGTATGTAGGTCAGAAACGGAAAACGAAACGAAAAATGAAAAGGAAAAAAAGTCCTTTCGCCCATTAATTAAAACGAGACCACGCCCGGTAACAAAATTCCAACAGACGTAAAGAACTGGGCGCTAATTTTTAATTAGCTCTAAGAGAAAATACAATTAGCGATGAGATGTAAAGGGCGTCCTTGAAGGTCCAAGGCCGATCTAAGAGAGAGCAACGAAGAAGTGGCATCAGGAAAAAAAAAAACTAATTAACATTCACATTAATTAATAAATTAGCATATTTTTGAGCAAGTCTGAAGACCGTGACGAGCTAATACGAGACCACTCTCACCTTCGTATGACCTCTCCTTCATAGTCAGATGATTCGATTAACTGCGTATTGTTATTTAAATAACCTTCAGAATTACTCGCACTGGTTTTTGCAGCTGATCAATTTTCCCGAATCCAGCGGCGTAGAAAACGACCGAGCCGGCAACGAGCGGACGCAGTCGTCTCGATTCGTCGACGAGTGTTCGAATGTCTGAGCGTTTCTAACCGGTGCGACGTTCTTCCCACGGCCGGGGAAAGGATTCCTCTTGGGTGCGACCGCATGCGGGGGGGGGGGGGGGGGGGCGCTCGTGCGCGGAAACCCCGCTCCGATGCGGAGAGGCGGCAGCGATTTCTAGGTGGTGGGACGAGGACGGGTGGAATTCGCCGAAGATCGACTATTCCATGATTCTCGAATCCGACGGAATCTTCGGTGGGGGAAAGAGGAGGGGGAGGGGAGGAGGGAGAGAGGGAGAGGGGGGGGGGGGGGGCGGGTTATCAGTTCGTCCCGATGTGTCTCGCAAAACAAAAAGGAATCGCTGGGAGGAGAGTGGGGATTTGCACTCGCCTGGCATCTATTACTAACACAAAGGCAGCTTCAATATACGAATATACGAATTTTTATAAAAATGCTGCCTTTTTTTTGACGAGATTAAGCTTTAGCAGATATTGTCATTATAATCTCTTGCCAAAGTTAGGTTTACGCCCATAACAGGCTAGTGGATGGTGAACATCTCAGCAAATTTGCATCTTCTACTCTCCTCGGTGAGTAAAAAAAAAATTAAATCAAATAAATAAAAGAAAAAAACAAATAAACAGAACCATTGAACGTCCCGGACCAGTCAGTCTTCGCCCACTCTACGGAGACAAATGAAGCAAGAAGGATTTTCCTTCCCCCTCTCGTCGAGTCCCGAGGAGCAAATCGACGCGGAATCCCCACTCGGGTCGGCCTGGATTCCCGGTGCCTTCCCGCGCGGATCAGCACGAGTGCTCTCGGGGCGGATTCACTCCTCTCCCGTGAAAGGTACTCGCGCGAGAGAACCTTCCCAGTCGACCATTGTCTGAGCTGGTACTTCCACGGAATGGAGACGGTCGCCTGTGGGAACGATCTCTCTCTCTCTCTCTCTCTCTCGTGATCGCATGACTCACTCTCGATGCGACTTTTATGAGTCCTTCGGGCGGGATATCAGACTCCCCGGAACGCGGGTCGGGCGGAAGCTCGTAGCTTGACGTCTGAGCGTCGGAGAGAAAGTGGGAAACTCGGAAACCGTCGAGACGTAACAACCCCATGCGTGGCTTATTCCACGCGAGCGATTCTCTTCACACGCTTGCGGGGACTGGTCGCAACGCTTTTTCGAATGGGGAGTTCCTCGCTCGTTCTGGATTCTGGTTCCGTGAGGAGTGCATCTCTGATTCCTACTTTTCCAATTTAGTTTCATCCGTTTCACAGCGCGTTTTCTGCATATTAATGTTAAAGGAAAATCTACTGAAACCACCCAACGTTCACTGCTCCTATAATTTAATGAAGTAAAATTTAGTCAACAAATGCTTTAAAAAAATGAAGGAAAAAAAAAACAACTGATCACCTATTGTAATGAAGTCAACACAAAATTACAAGAATAAACTATTTTTTTTATTCAACATATATCTAATGGCATGAAAATTTATAAGAATGAGGAAGGTCATACAAAATGCAGGACACTGACTCATTGAAACAGACAGCAGCATGAATAATAGAGAGACTCCAAGTAGCAAATTTCCCTGAAGGCAGTTCATAGACGAGAACCTCTCATTTCAATTTGGTTTCAGGCATGCATAAGTAAACACTATCACCCTTTGTCATGAAGAATTGAAAAACAATACAGAACAATTAATGGTGGAGGAGGTCCTGTTCCATCAAATCAGTTCCAGATCCTCACAAGTGAGCACCATCACAGTCTCAGACTCCAACTCATCTAGAATTAATTGGAAAAACACTTAACAGCTTGTGAAACTAACTGAAAGTTGCAGGCAGCAAGTAACTGGCCAAGTAACTGTTTGCATCCAAATAATCTGATTTAGATGCAAACAGATGGCAGCATGACACGAAACAAAAAGACATCAGAAGAAAGGAGACAAAAATATCAGTAGAGAAGGAACAAAAAGACATCACAAGAATGGAAACAAAAAGACATCAGAAGAATAGAAACAAAAAGAATGCCAGAGAGAAGGAATGTGAGCCTCTAGGAATGATGGGAATGAGAAGCCACTCAGATGACACTGAGTGGCTTCCCACTCCAGTGATTCACAATTGAATTTGTTCCACCTTTGATATGGGCTCCAAAGGCTTAAAGTTATTTCTTTCATGGGAAATATACCCTCATCCTTGGATCAATAGAATCTGACAACCCTGTGCATTCTTTTCCATAAGGATGACACTCACATGTCAATTCCAGTAAAACACTTTATGGCTACCCACAACAAGTGCCAAAGGGATTCCATATCCAAGAATTTACATCAGGAACAGACTATAGAAGAAACTAGAAAGTAAGGGGATAAAACAGGGAGAGACAGTATAAGCAAAACCTCACTACCTCTTAAGAGTATGCTTCAGGCCTTGGTAGTTATAGTTCCAAAGTGGTATTCTTAAGTTATGTCAAGGCAAAAAAAAAAAGTCTATTTCTTTAACCCTTCAAGCACTGAGTTCTGACTCGACCTCCTAAGTGATGAACGTATGGTGTATGTGAAAACGGCTTGAAGGATTAATGGAAAAGTATGTGCATACTCAAATTCAATGAGAAATTACATACTCTCTCCTTGGCACAAAGGGAACCTGAAAATTGCAGAATCCAACCACTATGCAGGATGAACTACCCCAATAAAATTTTTTGTCAATTTTGTGAATCAAATACATATACTATACTAGAACATTGATTGCCAAGACTAACCAATAAGATCATCAGTAAGGTATTCTTGATTTCCCCAAGTGAAAATGCTGGACAGTGGTTGACATCCATCACAGAAGCCCTTGAACTTCCAAATACGGTCACCACATTGCTCCAGATAGCCATAGAGAATATCCAGTATGGTCTGCATTTCTGCAGTTGATGGAGTGACAACATGAAGGAACTTCTTCTGATCAACATCCTGCAAGAACACGGTGAAATTCAACGACTGTAATAACTTGGCTGAACCTCTGGATACACCATAGTACACTTTAAGTGACCCTCTATTTCAAGTGGAATGTTTTCATGATGGGAGAGACAAACCCAATGTAATGCCAGTCTTGGCTCTCGAGGCTCAAGAAAAAGCTCCTGTAGAGCATTTTTTTCCACTGAAGAGATACCCAGGACCTTGCAAACAAGCTGCTCCCCTTGAAACTTCATTAAAGCACCTGTCTTGACATCCTCTCCTCTGATAAGTGCACTGAAATGAATATTTCTGTCAGTAAGACATTTGTACCCATTTTAAAATTTGGTCCAATATACACCAATCAAAATTCTTCATTGATCCCCTTGACATACAGTAAAAATTAAATTACAATATTATGGGGGAGGTTAATAATATAAAAATTTCTCTAATCCTATCATTGTAACATCATCCAGAAGATGCATGTATCACCAAACAGCATTTCCTTTGCTGACACTAATGAGGGCAATATATCCAACCTCAGGAGTGGCAAGTCTGCTCAAGCCTTAAGTCTTAAAATCTAAAGTCTGCTCAGGTCAATACACTCTTCTAGGATGATGGTCTCATTTGATAAAACTTTGCAAACAGAAAAGTGCTAAAGATTGATTTAAGTTAAACACAGCATACATTTGATTAGGTTTGCAGTTTTAATGAGTTCTCATAAATCACCTTTCTTCTATTACTTGCTTTTCTATTTACTCCTATAACTTATGCCTTTATGAAATGACAAAGAAAAGAGATGGAGTCTGATTTTAAACTCACAGGAGCTTCATGAAGAGACAAGCATCAGCAGGTACATACATACATTGAGGTGCCTTGGTACAACGCCCTTTCTTCACTGGGCTCAGACACATGCAACATTTGACTTCCACTTCCATGAAAAGGAGCTTCGCAATCTGACCGCTGAACACTACCCGATTATTTTCACGAAGGCCACCTTCTGCTGGAGTCAGCCTGAGACAAGAAATATACAGGTTGTATAGTAACTCACTTTTCATGATGAAGCAATATTTTTTTAACATAACAAAATAAAACTGGAAATAACCATAACAATAAAAGTAAAATTTTCAGGTGATCTCTCAACATCTTTGACATAACCCCTCCCGACATGGGTTCAACTTAGCACACCCTGGATGGTTTGAAACTTGAATGACAAGGAAGCTAAGGGAATGGGCTCTCGCATCAATAAGATGGAATGCTGAAAAAAAAATTATCATAAGATCGAATAGTGACTATAATGGGTATGGCAAAAAAAATACCCGTGAATCGGAATCCTGATATCTCGGCTCTTCATTGAGATGTGCCTATCAGTTTGCGACCCGTTTGTGAAGGTCACGTGGGATGAGACCTTCAATAACAAGTTAAGGTTCCAGCGAAGAAAATGCTGCGACTGGGTAAAAAAAAAAAGGGTAAACAGAACTGCACTGAGTCATTCATATGGAAACAATGTCATCTCTAAAGTTATCATCTATATTTTCCTTTAACTAGTTTTTTTTTAATAAATCAGAAAAAAAAACTAAAGTTTCATATCCCGATAGTTTTCCGTATTTACCGGTTCAGGCCATGCTCTCTAGGGCTGGCGGTAGGCATCGTTGAGTCTACCTCACGATTGACAGTTTCGCTCGTGATCATGACGCATCGGCCAAGTTTAAAAGGGAGCACCAGAATCAAAAGTGGCAGGTCGGATGGATCTCATATTTTGTTAAAAGAGCAACAAGGCAGGGACAGAAATAACAGGAGGAAAGAAAAAGAGATTCTCGGCAGATAATCCCATTTCCTTTTTTTTTCCTTCTCCTCCTCCCCATCCGATTATCGGCATCTTCTTTTGCCACAAAGATCGACGGTCCCCAGAGTCTGTCTTTACATTCCGAGATCAAAGCTCTATTCCAACGTTTGCCAAGAAATCAGCGAGAGAAAAAAAAAATTAACGAGAGCAGAAAACAGGAAAAATGAGTTACATGCATGGATACACATCCACAAAAAAAACTCCAATCCTCGCAGTTCACTGTGATTTGACCTTCCCCATATCCATCGTTGACCTTTACATGGCGTTGTATTTCCTGGAAACACTGGAGATTGATGAGGCGGCAACTTTTTTTGCCAAGAGATGGTAAGAGGGCATAGTGAGAGGCTAACGCCAACAGAAAACCTTTCATTCCTAATTGCTCCTACCAAAGAAAATGGATGTTTCATTCTTCCTCTTTCCTCGTTTCCTCTCCTGGAGAAGCGATGTGCAACCCGCGGCCTACGTAGGTCTGGCTAGACCTACGTCTAGCCAGAGTAATGATATTGCCGGTAAAGGAAGTTCCTTTACGGCTCAGGGCCAATCACAACTTTGATCAACCTTTAGCAATTAGTGAGAACAAGACCGTGAGTCCTTCCCCTAATTAATCCTCTCGCCCGCGGTGTCACAAACGTCTTAAGTAGGAGTTCCTCAATGCCAAGGCTATTTTTGGACGCTGGAACTTCCAAAGGGTGAGGGTCGTCGATCAATCAGCGCGACCTTAAAGTCACGCGGTCTTCTGCACCGCACACCCTGAGGGCATAAGAGGGGAAACTTATTTAGCATTCAATGGCCTGGGTGCAGAGTCAGACGTTTTCATAAGGGCCATTGCCAATAAAGGTCGCACACCCCTGTCCCAGAAACCGATCCTCGGTGTTAGTCGTCAGTCACTCGTGACTGAGAATGTGAGCTGACGTACACGTGCTCCATCGCCAGACTCGGCTCATTTATTCCAACGCCACCTTTCGAAAATTGCGTTTCTCTCAGCAGTTACACAGTATATCAGAGATTGTCGGTTGAAGATTTGCAATTGGAGAGAAAGAAAGGCATACTCCAGGATTTTCACTTCTCTTTTACTTTATCCGAGCGGCTTCATTTTAAACCTAGCCGTAAATTTTTAAAAAATTATCAATAGAATTAGTGACATTGTATGTTCCGCAAATGCAACTAGGAGGGCAACCCAGAAGATCGAAATGATCCAGACTTGTGAAATTTAATCCAATTCCATTCCGGCAAAAAAAAGCCTAGAAATTACTTAAATACGTTGGAATGATGAAAAAATGGGGGCGAGGGTTCGAAGTCGCTTCAGAGTGAATTCCATCTGACAGGCGCTTCCACAGAACAGGGTCTTCCAAAGGTGACTTTCGCTGTTCAGGCAGCTGTGGGACGCCCGAGGAGTGACGTAACAGAGGGAATCGAATGTTGGACCAATTTTTCTCTGCGGAAGATGATGGTCCGTAAACATCGAGTATTACGATAGCGTCATCATCTTTTCACGTGCCTTGCAACCGCAAAACACAGTCCAGATGATTACAATAAAGGGTTCAATCTGGGTTTCATGGGTGGCTAGAATGATCTGAAGGCGCGGCAGCCCGTTCTACACCGCTGCACATATATTCGCTTCACTTCTCTAAATGTTCTCCGTGCTTTCATATTTCCAAAATCTGGGTACTGTAGGACGTGACTTGCATTTTCTTTATGGCAGCAGTGCATCTGCTGGGGTTTCAAGTTAGAGCATACATTAAGTACTGCATTGAAATCATTGGGAAGCACTTAATATAAGAAACACACAAAGCTATCTACAGAAAACCTACCTGGCAGATTTCAACGACTGAGACACAAATAAGGTTTTCTTGTTTTATGATAGCTATTGGGAGTCTAAATATATACTGGACTCTTACATTGACAGTTCAGAAAAATACTTCTTATTCAACTGATTGATTGAGCGAGGGAGACATGAACTCGTCTCAGTACAAGGGTGTGCATTTTCAGGGCCCCCAGGTATGTGGAAACGAACAAGTAGTCTGACAGAACAGTACTTATGAATTTTGAAAACCAGAAGCCTACCACAATAACAAATCCTGACAATGAAGTTTGGAAGAAATTAGCTTTCCCAGTTGGGTCCGCTTGGATATGATAGTCTCTCTGCTCAAAGAAGTCTGCTTCTCAATACCTCATGCTTATCCACTATCCTTTATAGTTTATTTTGCACAGTGAATACATCTGCAGAGTGATTCTAGTCAAAGCAGAACCATTATAACTTTTGATGACTTATGAGTTGAAGCCATCATGCAGATGAACAGGAACAAGAACTCTATGAATTAGCTTCCATTCCATTATTTTAGCATCTAGCAATAGCATACATATATGAGAAAATTGCACGTTTCATCCCTCTCTCTAGATTCAATTATATAGAACTTACATAACCTCCTACACCAACAATGAGAAATCCAACCAGTATGTTGGCTTGGAAATTTCCTACTGCCACCCAAAACATGAGAACAAACATTTCCATGGTTCCCCATTTTGACTGAATACCTGTATAATTTTTTTTAAAACTTAAAGTAGTAGATGTATACATATGTACTCACAAGTCCATTTCACATGACAGGAATCGAGTGATCTGGTAGCTGAATCGACCGGCAGCATGAAGATAGCGTCTGCCATTGGATGACTTAACAGGGATGTCAATGAATAATACTCGGACATTGTCTATGAGACCAGCACAGGAATATTTGTTTGGTGTGAGGTACACACAGATGAACTGGGCACTGTTCTCCAAGTCACAGAGATGAAGACGGATTTTGTGTTCTTCTGAAAATAGAACGAGTCAAAACATTTAAAAACATCACTGAGTAGTGTGTCCTGAAGACAGTCAACAGCAAAAGGGAAAGAACACTAACTCAAGATGTGCTTTTTGTATAGAGGCTCCTCATAGAAGTGATGAACATTTTGAATGATTCCCTCCACATTCACTCGCTCAGGACATTCGTTTTCAGTGTTCAAGCACTCGGCAACCCTAGAGATCAGAGATGGATTCAATTGCAAGCATAATTGCTCCTGGATCTTGGCACATAAAGGGTGCATTCAACAGCTGCCTGGACATGGAACCTATGATATGGTTGCACCTGGGGAGGGCTCAACTGAACATGTACTCCTCTTCTCACATGCAGATTAACAAACCTAGTCTCTTAGGTTGGGTGAAAAAAATTGGACCATAGGGATGCTCTCCAGTCCAGTACACAAACTGTAAAGTGGGTTTTTGGGTAAACCCAAGTTCAGTACTGTGCAGCTGTTGAATCCACTCACAGTATTTTCTGCTTTGTAGTTGGACTGACGTGTGAGTTGCTGCTTGGAGCCTCTTTGAGGACAATGGGAGTATCATTACACCATCTGGAACTACAACAACCCTTTCAGCAACCCTTTTGAGATGTGTTCTGCAATCAAATGCAACACAAGATTCAGCAGATGAAATATTTTTTTGAATATCTAATCCACCACTCTTACTCTCTCTGAAATAACATGGTGTCCTTGCAGAGTGGCACAGAGAGTTTGTATCTGCATCCCACTTGAATGAAAGGATAATATCTAGTGGCATCTCCCCAAAGAACCAAAAGTCGGGGTATCTGAGATCCATTCCCATCGGCATTATCACCACAATCATCCCTTGCTGATTGGTGGTCATAAGATCCTCCTATCAAGAGGCAATCCATCAAGAAGGAATATCTTCCTTTTGGACCAGGATCAGACCCAGGATAGGAGAATGGAAGAGACTTCCCTCTCACAAAAACTCGCTGATGGAGCCAGATGTCTGATGACTCAACAGATGGATTAGCATTTAGAACCAGTGACCTGAGGCTCATGGGACTACACAAGATGTAGACTTGACTTGAGCAGCCTTCAAATTCTTCCTTGACAAGTTTGTAATCACTCAGCCAACAGAAGCAGCCACTTACAAAGGGACTTCCATGTGACAAAGCATCTACATGATCACGAATGACCAAAGTGATGAAGACCTTCCCAAACTGGTTTTCAAGCTGAAGCATCCCCAACTTCTCATTTACACTTACTTTCCCAACAAGGGCACCACAGCCAGGCATCAGAGAACAACGATAAGGCAATTTCCAATTTTGTTCATGTTCATGACTTTCAAATTCTTCGCACAATTTTCCTGGTTTCTTCAGCAGCAAGCTGTTGTTCATGACATGCTCCTGTTGGAATAGAAAGAAGTGATAACATGCATAAAATGCACACAATGTATGTCATAAGTACTGCTGAATCCCTTTGGTTTTATAAGTCATTAGCAAAAGTGACAAAACAAGCTACTGCTTTAAAAACTCCATAACAAGGAGATTCTACAGGTTGGCACTCATTCCTGAAGTGATTTTTTTCAATTTGAATATTAATTTTTTTCAGAATCTGTTCTAAATTAGGCTGGCACCCTAGATTTTCTTAATTGAGGTAGTTTTCTGTATTCTCAATGAGAGTACAGAAAATATGAACTTAATTCCTAGACAAAATATTTACAACCATTTTAGACAATATTTGCTAGGGATAAGATGCAATGTGAAAAAGCCTATTCCTCATGTCAACCTATACACATTAATCATGAGAGGTCAAAAGAGAGTCAGAATACCAACACAGGAATTATATGTCAGAAATATTGTATCCAATGATTCAACTACAGCACAAATCAGTGCTTTTCCTTCAAAAAGGAGACCAATCAACTTACCTTTGTGTCTATGAAGCAAGCATGTGGTATTGAGAGGCATTCACCCAGGTATACTCTCTTCTTTGCCCCAATGAGAACAGATGATCCAAAAAAATGTTCAAACCCAAATGCAAGGAGATTGTCCAGGCCATCAAGCCTAGAAAGAGGTGACACCAGAAGAAAAGACAAGTAAAGGTCTTCATATGAGATGAACAAGTTTTCAGCCTGCTATTCCATCAATAATTTAAGGGAAAATTAATTTTGGTATATATGAAAGATATTTCTCGGTCAGCCTAAAGTAATGGGCTCTTGGGGTAGGGAGAAAACAGAACTGGAATGAAGAAACAAAATCATGAAACAGAACTTGAAGATAACAGGTATAGGCCTACCCTTCTTATTATGTTTCCTCTATGACAGAAGCACTCACTTGTCTAGCAGGTGGTTCATCAAATACAAAGGAACAAGGTGTGTTTTTAGGTCCTCCCAGAGTTGAATCATTTGAAAGAGAATTGAAACTCCCCAATGATGATAATGAAGCATCTTCAACAGTGTGCTCGCCTGCTGCTTGGAACACTTGTTGTCAGATCTACACACCATATCACCATTTGCTCTGTCCAAGATATATATGACAAACATGAAAAAAAAAAATTTTTTTCCCCAAACTATTGGGGAAATAACATGACTGCTGTTAGAAATATACCCATTTCAGAAATTGAACATACTTGGCTACAATTTGAAGGTAGCTTCGACAGCACATGATCAAGACTGGCTTGCCATTGATCTTGCAGTCATGGCCATTGTATATCACAACTTTCCAATTATCCTCAAGACAGGGAACATCAGAAATTTGCCCAATGAAACTGGTGCACAGTGTGATTCCACTGTCAAGCACATAGATGCCAATTGCATGTCCACTAGCATCCACCACAGTTCCCTGAAAGGCAGTCAAGTAAGTGATACTGAAAATGCCAAGTGACAAACTACTTGAAAGGAGATGTTAATTGAAGTGAGAAAGACAAAGAGAAGATAATACATAATACATGTTCATATCATCAGTGATCAGGTAAAAGGTCAAACAAGCTTTTGTAATAATTACTGGAAGGGCAAAATTTCATTTTTTTGACAAAATAATAATTGAAGAACTTTTGCTTTTTCCTCTGGTGAGTTGAAACCCTCAGCTTCCTGGTGCAAATTCAAACATTTTTAATTTCTCTTTCTGTAGTCCAATAAAAAAAAGATAAATTCTTGTTTTCCAGGAAATTTTCAAACATGTATTTACTATTTTGTCAGACCATGAATGAGAGGGAACATCTACCTAAAAAATATAGAGATAAAAATAGGAAAAGTAGCTTGAAAACTGAATCACATTAAAGGTGTGGACAATCAATCATCAAGATCAGTTGGACTCAAAACAAAGTTTGTGAGTCAAATGCAATCAGTGTGAAAGCTAGCATTTCTGATGCATTGATAAAGAGTAGGTGAAGAAGTTAACAATATAGCATGGGGTCTATAAAAAAAAATTATCCCATTGGTTCTCAGGAATTTTACTGGTCCATAAAAAATGAGGAAGGAAGGCTTCAGGGAGAGAGATGCCAAAGCTAAACCTAAAAATGCTCTAATTTAATTAAATTATCTCATTTTAATTCTATTATTCACAATATTGAAAGCAATCCTCCAAGCCATAAAGAAACCCCCCCAAAAATAGAGGGTAATATTTTTAACATCAAACATACATGCTGTAACTGCCCTATCCATGAAGCTAGGAATGAGAAGCTTGGCAACAGCCAAGAGTGCATATCAGAGATTTATTGCTCAGTGAAGGACATGGTCAATACGTCCACCTCCTTGTTCAGCAACATGGAATGAATTTCCCATAAGTGCTCATGACTGCTGCCAAGCCAATTTCCATTCCTAGCATCAAGGATATGACAGTCATAACACATTCAAATGGTATGAAATTTAGCAAATCACCCTATATGATAATCACTGTCCCTGCTGGTCAGGTCACTAAAGAAATGCAATTCAGACACAGTGAAGAACAACTCACTTAAGTCAAAAGTATGCTCTGCTGCAGTGGTTAGCAACAGGAGGCCTGCAGGCCAGATCTGGCCTGCAGAAGCCCTAACCCTCTCTGGCTCATAAAGGCCTGGTTATCACACATTATGGTCTGACGGGAGATGTTTGACTGCACGTATGACATTGGACATTCATTAAAATTTTCCTTTTTATAAAACTTGATAGGCATTGGCTTGTGAATGCGTAGCATTCTGTCATCTGGTCCCCCATGAAATTCAGTTGCCAACCACTGCCTACTGACTTTCATTTCTGGATTATATTTTCTCCCACCATGATTGAGCAAAAGTCTCCATGGCTCATGCATTAGGAAATCAACCATATATGAAGTTAAGTCTCTATGTACTTCATGTTTCAGTTTGTGTATGTATCTCCAGGTTTCTGAATATACCCTAATATCAGCAAGAAAATGAACATGGAGACCCATATGCATCCTTTCAGGTGCTTTTGAATAGCAACAGCCTTTCAGATATCCATATAAATCCAATAAGTCCAATTAGAATGTTTTTTTCAAATCTTAGCAAACATTTTTGCCAAAAAAAAAGGGTGGTAGATGTTAGATTACTAATTATCATCCCTCATCATCTGGTGAGCACAAGGACAACCTTGGTTGCTCCTGTGATCCTCCAGCAAGTTCAAACCACAGAAGTGTCCACATTTCTCACAGCCATCAAAATCTTGCCTGATGTAACATGGTCTCTTCACCACATACTTGCTTTTTTATTGCAATGACATATATTGTTTTCTGCATCCACCATCCATTTCCTATACATGCCAAACTATATTTTGAAGGTAAATTAGCAAGAAACATCCTCACTTTGCAGCAAGAATTCACCATGAACCAAGCACATGGAGGTCTTATCTCATTTTTGTGCTTGTTTCTGATTTATTTGAACAAAAAAAAAAGCACATGGCCATTTTTAAACCTTTATTGGATGAACTTAAATCTCCCACTTAAACCCTGACAGCCATTTATTTTCTACAAAGCTCATAATCACTCGCTAACAGAGTAATGCAATTGTTCCAAAAATAAACAGTTGACAGTGAAGCAATTATTCACTTAATATCAAAGCATTTTCCCAAAAAGTTGCAGAACAGCATCTGTACCTCTAGGCCATGGAAAAATGCATTTTATATCAGAGCAGTTGTGCCAATTGTCCGATAAAGGTTAATGATAACTTGACCACCCCTCACTCACGTCAAGGGAATCCTACTGGATTAGCAATCCACATCTCTAATGATCAATTAATATCCACATTCTGGGCCAATATGCCAACTTGTTTTCTGTTCATTGAAATGTTAGCTACCAAGTATTCAGAATATGGAGAATTCATGACATCCCCCATTATGAAAGCACCATAGGTATGTGCTCAACTTTCCCTCATAATTTTCCCATAATCCCTGGTTCCTAGGGAAAATATAAAATAAGAATCAATCTCAGTCATAGCAATCTCAAAAAATGAGTAGAACTTGCCTCATGCTTACTGATAGAATCAACATTATCATGTCCAGGAGCTGTGAGTGTACTCATGAGCTCTTCATCTCTCACTTCCTTAATCATGCATTCCTGTGTCGGCTTCAGCATTGGAACAAGTATGAGTTCTTTCTGTATGAAAAGAGAAACAAAATGAAAGAGTAAATGAATTTGCAAAGGGTAGCAGAGGCACACTCTTGCACGCAAACCAGTACATACAAAGTATATGCTAAAATCAGTGTGTCAAGGTGAACTCTTGTCTCTACATCAGGTTTATGATCACAGAAGGAAGAAAATTTTATAAGTTTTATATTTTGTTAGCACTATAAAATCTGACTTCCACCTTTGCTCTAGACAAACCAGGTTACCAACTAACATAGGGTATGTGCAATTACTTTTCTTGAATCTCACTTGCAATCAGAAAAATGCTATAAGGAAAAGGTCCTGCATGCACATAAAAATGCAGTAGCAAATAAGAATATGAAAACTAAGACTTGAGACTTCAAGTCCATGCCTTCTGCCAATTTACCAAATTCACTGCAGGATCTAAATGTCTGTAGATACCATAGGTAGGCTGTACAAGTCACCATGACTTGTAAAGCAGTGAACTTGTTAATCTAAGGAAGCCAACAACACAAGGAATTCTTCTGAAGCCCTACAGACACAACATTTCATAATCTTGGCCTGAAAATGCTATTTCATAGTGGAGAAAACTTACCAGCTTTTCTTGTGAGAAGCGGTGTAGTGCTGAGAACGAATACAAGGCCCCAATCTTCATCTGTGGAGCCATATGAATATATGGAGCTTTGTCCAGAATAATTATATGCAACTTAGGATTTTCCTCTCCAGATCCAGCTGCCAGGATACGAAGACAGCAGAACTTCTTTCCTGAACTGGAGGAAAAAAATTGCTTGGAATTAATTTTTATTCAAGAAAAGTAACTTTTTGCAGAGAAGGTATATTATAAGTAGAGATCAACCAATACTGGATTTTACCAATTTTGCCGATTCCGATATTGGCCGATATATGAAGCCAATAGCCGATACGATATTTGCCGATATTTCAGCATAAAACCATATTAAAGATTCATCAGCACCACTTCATTTACTTCAAATTTTCCCGGATTAAGAGTAACTTTTCAGCATTTTCCTGATCTCCCTTTCATGGAATATCTCATGAAATACTCCTGTAAGATGTATGCACACCAGCATGAAATCTTCTAAGAGGAATTCTTGAGCCTACCTTGGTTGTGATTCAGGAATTAGCTTCTTTATCCATTGTTCTCAACCAAAGGTCATGAATTCTATCTTATTAAGGAAGAACTTGTTAGTTTTTATTAGGGCTGTCACGAGAGATCGATGCATCGATACCACTATCGATAGTTGGAGATATCGATAGTTTTTCCGACCATCGCGATGCATCGGCAAAATATTTTAAAGGGGAAATGTCCCATTGAATTGAGGAGAGTACTGTACAATACAGTCCGTCCGGACGAGGAAAGGAAGAAGCGGCGTGACACGCATGGGCGAGCAATTTCTTATCACAATCAAATTCTGGAAATGTTGGGACTGACTATGAAAGGCGGGAAGGGAAAAAAAAGTCGGATCGGAAACAGGAAGTGGGAAAAGAGAGGGAAGCCCAATAATTTGCCGTCAGTTTCAGTCTCCCGGCTCGATCTCATCAGGTGCATGCTGCGGAAGTGGACTGTTCTTATACTGCCTTGATTTCGAAACGTACGTTGGATAACCCCCTCTGTTTATTCCTATCACTTTAGTATGCAGGCTTAACTTTCTTAATTTTTAACTTGCCTTGGGGCGCTTCATCTCTACTTAAGGTGAAATCAAAGTGAATTTTTTACATGGACGTTGCTTATTCTACGGCTGTACCGATGTTTCGGCAACCGCCGGTATGGCACCATCAGCAGGTTTCCTATCTGCCGGTGCCGATGTCCAAAGACAGTGTAGAACGAAGAAAATTAGGGCTGTCCTGATGCATCCATCGATGAATGGATGTCATCTTCGATAGTTGCAGGCATGGTAGGTTTCATTATTCTTTGCGAAGATCACGCATTCCCCTTGCACCCCCGATCACAAGCGTGAGATTATGGAAGCCGGATAGAAGTCCGCGCTCCGATCGCGGCGAGAAAAGACGGAATCCTCCGGCGCAACCCCCCCGATGCATCGATACACTATCGATAGTTTAGGTCGATGCATCGATGTTTTTAAAACTGCTATCGTGACAGCCCTAGTTAAAACGGCTCAGGGCACATATTTTGCAAAATGCGTATTTTCACGAATTTTCTGATCCAGTAAAACAGAGGGCGCATGAAAGTTTAAACTTGGCTAAGAAGAACCTGATGGATGGCTGAGTAAAGAAAAAATTCCACTTTTATTATATATAGAAGATCGTGAGTACCTGACTGATTGACATGAGTAGCTATTCACATGCTGAGTTCAGGAAAAGTTCTACTTTGGTGATGCATGCAATAGGGACGCACCTTTCGGGGAACGTATTTTCAAATAGTTCTCTTTGCTTCAAACAGAGACACATGGAAAGCTGAAACTTGGCAAAAAAGTGATCGTTGACGCACTGAGCTCAAATGGCAAACGTCAAATTTCCAAAATATTTTTGGGGTTCATATTTCTTGGGGACGTAACGTTTTCAAATAATTTTTTATATCCTACCGAATCGGGCAGAAATAGAAAAGTAGCTGGCGCAAGCATAACAGACGTAATGTTGATATGAGGAAAAATTCAACTTTTTTTGTGAGTCTCCCGAGATTTATGCCTGCCCCGTTCGAATTTGCAAGGACAAATATATTTTTCAGATACTTAAACGTGTCGTCTTCGACATTAAACGAATGGGAAATTACATCTTTGTATTTAAATTGATATTGTGGTCTCACCTTCGACTTTTTTTGCGAAAATTGCTGCATTGCCGATGCTGAAAATGCATGAAATCGAAAGATTTGTTCTTGAAAGTGCATGCCACGGAATTTATCCTCGTTTCGTGGATGGTAAAGGGATGAGCCGCTGGGTCGATACCAGATTCAAAACATTGGTTAGTGTCGGCAGATGACCCTCGGCCTACCGATGTCGTGCTGGTCTCGCCCCGATTGATCCTCAGGGACTCACAATCCGATTCGTCCTGGCCCTGCCTCAAAGCTGAGACGGCTTTCCGATACACTTTCCAATACAAGACGAGGAGAACGATGGAAGGAATAAGGATATTCACGATGCCTCTGATGATAATATACCGAGAGTCGATCGTCACAGAGCAGAAGTTAATCTTGGCCGGCTTCTCCTCCAAACCCACGAGTAGTCCCAGGCTCATCGCCAGGCTGATGAGCCAAATAAAGGCGATGGCCCACTGCGTCCGGGATCGGCTCATGATCCGACCGTGCGCCAAAGGTCGGCTCACGCCAATATATCGGTCCACTGAAATCGCACACAGGGACAAGACCGTCGCCCCGCAGCACAGTTTGTCCAGGAATACCCAGATCCGACACAGTGCATGGCCGAACTTCCATTCCCCGCCGAACTGAATGAGAGCAGAGAACGGCAGAACCAGGATTCCCGTCACGATGTAACTCACTGCCAAGTTCCCCATGAAGAGATGCGTAGGGCTCCTCATGGACGAAGTCACCTTGATCACGACCAGGACGAGTACGTTTCCGGAAACAGTGAGGACCACGAAGAGCGCAAAGATCACCGCCATGCCGACGTCGGTTTTCTGGAACATCCCGGGAAAACGAAGCGTGACCTCGTCTGGGTCGAATGTGGTCGTCTCCTCCTGGATATCGCAGCTCTCATTCGATTCCGCCTCTGTCGCCATCCTCGAAGCCGAGACAGGAACTGTTTTTCATTTGCCCCCGACACACTCCATGAGACGAATTCTCTTGATCAGGCCCCTCCTCCCTGCCCAGCACTGTTCCTACCGCGCAGGAACTTTACAAGGAGTGGGAATTCCTCTTGTTCCCCTAGTCTTCATCACCCCCTCCTGCCTCAATCTTTATCCAGCCGTAGATGATGAATATTATATAATGCTTTTCCCGCTTCTTCACGTTCGTGCGATTAGGAACCGTGGCATCACAGACTGTGTTTCTACCCCATCGGACCGGCTCCTTTCGCTGTCCTTTCCCTCCACCAGTTTCCATCCAATACATTCGCTTTAATCTTGTGCGAAACAAATTGCCTATCTTTGCTCATGCCCGATTCTCTCAAATTTTGATGTTGAGCCAAATTTATTCCTGATTGTGTTGAGCCCAAAGAAGCCCTTCCATTATAATTCTCTTTGATTTCCTTCGTTGGTTTTCCTGTTTGTTTCCAATACCCCATATAACGAGATTCGTTTGAATTTTGAATGAGTTTATTGTGCTTGTTCTCTCTGCCGGAATGGAATATGGAAGTCGGAGGAAGATTGCCTCATTCTTGAGTTCGTCGCCTCGAGAGAGTCATAAGAGGTGGGAAAATCCAATCTGTGTCATTTCTTGTCAAACATGTTTAAACCGCATCCTCGGAGTTCAGTCTTTCATCGCTTATTGAAAGCAATATACGATTTCATCGAAAAGGAAGAAACAGTGGTCGTGCGCTTGGAATATCGTGAAAATTCATATCTCTAGTATGAGAAATCCAGTGCAGACGTGGAATGTAACTCGATTATCTCTGTCGACCCCAAAGCCACCAAACCATCGGATCAGACATCTTCAATGCAGGTGAAAATTAATTTTCCTCGAGATTTTCCAGCATAGATGGTAGAGAATCAGACGAAACAAATTAAAAAGACAAGGCACGTGGCAGGTTGAAAGCTAGACGGTTTGAAACGGTTTCGTATTAGAGATTAAAAAGAATTTTTTAAATGACTGCTTCCACGGTATCCTTTTAACTCCTATCTGACTCTGATACGAGCCGCATTCCATCAATTCTATTCGTGGTGGGGTCTCGTGTCACAAAGAGAAACATTGTGAGGTAATTATGAGGAGAGATTAATTGATAAAAAACGAGACTGAAACTGACGAGGTTAATAAATCCGCCTCCAAAGACGTGTTCCCATTTTTAAAATAAACGAGGAAACTCACATCTACAACACTGGGATCCTAGAATTCATTCTAGTATCGAAAAGGTGACGGGGAGCGACAAGAAACAGTTGTAGATTTTCGTAACTCTTACCACTCGTCGACAATAGGGCAAATCGTCGTCACGAGAAGAATGAAGGATGGAGATGCGCAGCCGGAAAACCCGACCAGCCCAATCACCATCTAGGTCGAGCGGGTCGAACCGCTGGTCAGGCGGCGACATCCACTCCCCATCCTCCTCCTTCTGCGTTGGTCTTCGGACACAACAGAACAAAACGGGGGAGAGCTGGGCTTATTTGGTGATCCGGTTAGGCTTTCGATGATGAAAACAGCGTTCTCCTCATCATGAATCAATAGGGATGTTTTTGAATCAATTGTTGTTATAAGCTCGCCAAATTTTAGTGCCGCAAGTCCACGATGGCTCATGGGTTCACATGGCGAGGGTTCAACATTCATCATCGCAAAAGTGATACGTTTCGATATCAGTCGACAAATTGCATTTTTTCTGCAGCGGCTGAGAGTTGGCTCAGGTTTCGGCATCAATGAAACTGGGGCAACCCCATCTCCGAGGTGAAACAGGGGGAGCACGCATTTTCGGATCCAGTTCTCATCATCTCAAGCAGAATCGTTATCGTCCGGAATCCAAATATTCGGTCTTCGGTTGTCTCCAAGAGTTGGGTCCTCATCAGTTCCAAATTCATCTTTATTGATCAATTCCCCGACCAGACACTGAAGCTTTTCATGGTATTCTTCCTCCATTCCTCCTTCCGAATCGCCAGCTGAATTGGTGTTTTCTTCCCACCTGAAACAAAACATTAGTACCGATTGGATCGGGATTTCAGAGTCATCTATGAGCCCAGCAACAAATTAAAGGTTTCAGATTCATACCCAGAGATGTCGCTTAGCAGAATTTCAAGACATCGTCTGGCGGATTGAAATTCTTCCTCGTATCATGTGAGAAGTTAGCTGATAATCACTTTTACATTTTTAATTTTGATTTTTGCACATTTTACGCTGAGATCATAATTTTTCTCTGGCAGCTGGATTCAGTGGCAGACTCGAAATTAGAAATCCTTTCAGTATTTCCTCTCTCGTCGTAACATGAATTGCCATGCAAATCACGGAGATAATACTTGAGGTTCTGGAAAGTATGTCCGATGCTCAGATTCGGCAAGGACATCGGAGAGAATGGACTCACGTGAATTAGAAATACCTTAAACGTATGGGGGGAAATGAAGGGCCAGCAATTCTAACTTCTAGTTGCTGTGTTGCCCAGTGAACTGTACCAATGCTCTCTCCATTGAAAATAAAATAAAAATTTTCATTCGTACTTTTTTCTCGTATCATCGAGACGATACAAAGCCATGTATCTTCATTTTTGAATAGTATTTTCTAGTAAAATTACAATATTCTGTGGTAAAGGATGAGGTTTCTCACATCAAACAAGTAATGGTAATATGTTAATTGTATTAATTTTTTCCCCAACGAAAATGCGACGAAAATGGGGCCACGTACATGTATATTTCATGTGTTTCCCTCTCAAATAATTTTTATTGTCGTCGAGTCGATTAGTCATCGGTAAAGCCTATAAATATCAGCAGAAGGGATGAATGAATTACGGAGACAAGCGATGAGTCCACAATTGTGTGCGAAGTCGCGACAAAATGATCAAAGCTCCGACATTAACGCCATTTAGAAGATAGCGATGGCAAAAATAACCATCGAACCTGAAGACGATACAGCGAAGGATAAAGACGATGGAAGAAGGTGAATGACAACGAGCCAGACAGAGATGGAAGCCGGACTATGCAGCCACGACCCACGACCCTGCAGAGCATCCTGTGCAGCGCCCTCCAAAACTGTCTGTATGCCCCCGCGTAGACGAACTGGTTGAGCAAGGAGTTGGCGCAGGGGAACCAGAAGTCAGCAGCAGATTTGGGAATCACCACCAGGGATGCATCACTGCCAATGCACGACAGTTCGAAAGGTACAAAATTGAAATGTCAATGAACAGAGACGAGAAAAAGTATTGTGAAATCGTGACCTTTGACCTTTCTTAAGAATAATTTCTATCAACTCCGCCAAATTAAAGAAGCACTAATCTGATTTAATTTGGGAGTCGATTAAAAAATTCAGGCTTAGAAAGTTTCATGTGCGTATCAGTGCAGTAAATAACTGGAATAACGTTTACATTATTCTGTCACTAATAGTAACGACTAGCAAGTTCTTCCTTGGTCATGCAAGTGCTCACTCACTTTGAGATCGCCTCTTTGAAGAATCGCCCCAATCCCGCCGAATGCGACTCATCTCGGACCTCCGACTTCGTCAGCGACGGCATAGCAGCCTCCGCAGCGCGGTGCAAAACTCCCTGGACGTCACAGCATAGACGATCGGATTTATGAGGGAGTTGGCATAGCAGAGCCAGAAGCACGCAGCCAGCAGAGGGTCCGGGACTCCGCACTGAGGACACAACATTGCTGCCGACCGACAAAAAAGACAGACTCTAGAAATATTTATTACTGCAAGAAATGAAGACAAGAAAATCGCACAAAAGACGCGTCCTTAAAATGAAAAATCGATTTGAGATGCGTCAATTAAATGCTCCCCTGATCCGATAGTCCATTAGCGTGGCTGGAATTCATGAAACGAACCGAGTTCGACTTGCTTCATTTTTGCCCACATTACGAAATGAAGGAAGATTTCGTTGATTAAAAAAAATCTTTAAAAAACGTATATCAATGATAGCATTGATGAACGATCCGTTACCTTTTGAGTTGAGAAGAGGATGGGAAGGGAGAGGGGGGGGGCGTGAATCGGCCGTCAGGAATAAATCAGTTGTTTCTTGGCATTTGACCAATAATTTAAAACTGAGAAGGTACAAAGAGCAAGAAGCATTGGAAAGAGACCGACATCCCTGAGAAGCAAACCTTTCTTGGAACTCACAGTCAATCTTGTCTTTGATGAAATCTCATTATTTAAGTGGAAAAGAAACTAATTTCCTCAAGCGATAGACTGGTCGTCTGTGTATCAACCGACGGTTTCATTCCCTGGGGATTAAAATGTGATTCGGCTAGGAATTGATTAACTCTCATGCGCGTGTGTTGAAATCTCGACGGAGAAGGCAGTGCCATATCGGTGTGAGAGGTAGTTTGAAATGGATCCAAAAGATTAGTTCCCCCCCCCCCTCCTCATTGAAACTACTGTCTCGACATTTTTTATTTTTTTACCAGTTTGGGAGGGCCTTCAAATAATATGTTTTCTGTATTCATCGTTACCAAAGTTTCCGCTTGCTTGCGCGTGTGGGCGTCTGCGTCTGCTTTCATTTGTGTGTTTCAATATGGCTTTTCCCGTGTGTTCCCATGGGAAATACATTCTAACACTTATTTAATCCTCTTGTAGGACGGAATAAAATTACATCACTGCGACCTGATGAGTGACTGTAGAATGAAGCAATGCACAGGAAAATAAATAGACTCGATTCGAAATCGGAATGAAAAGGACCATCGAGCGTTGCATTCCCTACATTTGCTTCCGAAGCAGGAGAGGATTCGGTTTGATAAAAAGCTTCCTAGTCTTACCGAGAGACTGGACGACCAAGAGCGGGAACCAGCAGACGACGTAGACGCAGACCAGGATGGCAGTCGTCTTGGCTGCCTTCGCCTGCAGCCGGACCCTATGGATCAGTTGGTTCTTCCGTCTCGGAGAGAACACTTGCTGGAACGAATTCCTTGGTCTTGTGAGGATCTCGTCGATGCTCAGCTTGCGAGGTGCGATCGAGACGCTTTTTCTTTCCTCCTCGGCATCGCTGCTGGAAAAACTGGAGAACCAACCGATTAAAAATTATCTTTCTTTTCTCACAAGAGCAGGAGACTCCTCGAGAAGAATCGAGTCCACTTGGCATGCGTGAATCCCCAAACGTAATGCAAGCTTCGCGGGGCGAGTAGCCCAAGAGTACAATCGACAGAAGTATCGAAGAAGGGTTTTTCTGCGGTATGTCAAGTCATGGCATGTGCGGGAATTCACCAGGGCCGCCTGAGAATAGACGCAGTTCGATGTTTTTATAGATGTAGCTGCCTCCTCCCTGATGAATGGCATGGTGAGCCTCCGTTACCCTCCAGGGGAATCGTGGGAGTGGGAAGAAGATACTCCTTCATGACTGGAGCTGACAACCGCGATGAACTTCCACAGGGAATCGATACGAAAGGGGATGGATGAGTGCTCTGGCGATAGGATATTTTAATGTAGTAATATGAAAACCAGTTTTCAATGGTTTTCCCTTTCTTCTACCCCCATCCCCCCGCCCCCACCCAACCATTCTCTACGGGACTCGCGAACTTTATGCCTGGACCTAACCAACAGACTTCATTCAGGTCTCTCCAAGGTCTATATTTTTTCTTCCAAATGAAACTCAGTTCTTGACTTGCGGGCCAATTAGGCCAATGAGGGTGAATCCGATTTCTTCGATACATCTCGCTGAGGACGTGTAACGTTAGGTCAATCGCAGGCTCAGTCAGTCTCTCATGGCATTTTTAAGAGAGGACGTGTAACGTTAGTCCGATTTATTTCCTGTTTTGCGTTTCAATGAACACTTTCAGTGCGGACGTTGAAAGTTAGGTCTATCTGGAGTTCTTCGGAACATCTCGAATAGGTCTGAGGAACGAATGTCCCCATGAAGCATGAAGTCGATGGTGTGCGCCATCCTGTTAATTCCGGGATGTCCGGAGACGCTATCAATTCAATATATATAATACCACATCGATGAATCACTGCTAACCGCCGCTTCATTCTCAGCTCATCTCATGAACTCAGCATAAAAATGTCTCATCATTAAAAAAATAGAAGTACCAGACGCCGATACGAAGACTGAAGCGGTCTTGAATCTGCAATAAATTTCGGCACGGTATCCGGCAACTCTGGGGGACGGTACCGGAGCCAGCACTCTAAGCCTAATTGAACGACAGCTAATTACATTTTTTTTAAATTGCGAAATGGTGCATCGCAAAGAATAAAAAGACCTCTTTTCTTCATCGACGAATCAATATCTTTCTTATGGTCTTTTTCCTCCGAAAACTCCCCAAGTGTGGACAGAACAGAATGAAACAGAATGAAATTCACATCTTCGAAAATCGAGATTCCGTGTTCTCCACGACACCAAGGAAATGAAGCTTCAATTTGGATAGAGTTCTATTGTGTTGAGAGAGGAAGAAACATGAGATATTCCGTTCCTGATGAATAGGTGGAGGTCGAATTATGCAACGGGAGGGGGTTAGGTAAAAGGCGCTACCGAAAGCCAAATGATGCAAGATGGGCGTTTACCAGAAATATGCCTGCCCCGTTCGAATTTGCAAAAACAAATATATTTTTCAGATACTTAAGCGTGTCGTCTTCGACATTCAACGAATGGGAAATTACATCTTTTTTTAAAAATTGATATTGTAGTCTCACCTTCGAGTTCTTCTTATGGAATTGCAGCACTGTCGATGCGGATGATGCAGGAAATCAAAAGATTTGTTCTTTAAAGAGCACGCCCCGGAATGCATCCTCCTTTCGTCGATGGTAAAGGGCTGAACCGCTGGGTCGATACCGGATTCAAGACATTGGTTAGGGTCGGCAGATGAGACTCGGCCTTCCGACGGCGTGCTGGTCTCGCACCGATTGATCCTCAGGGACTCACAATCCGATTCGTCCTGGCCCTGCTTCAGAGCTGAGACGGCCCTCCGGTACACTTTCCAATATAAGACGAGGAGGACGATGGAAGGGATGAGGATATTCACGATGGCTCTGAAGATAATATACCGGGCGTCGACCGTCACGGAGCAAAATGTCATCTTGGCCGGCTTCCCCTCCAAACCCACAAGTAGTCCCAGGCTCATCGCCAGACTGATGAGCCAAATAAAGGCGATGGCCCACAGCGTCCGGGAACGGCTCATGATCCGATCGTGCGATAGTGGTCGACTCACACCGATGTATCGGTCCACTGCAATCATACACAGGGACAAGACCGTCGCCCCGCAGCACAGTTTATCCAGGAATACCCAGATCCGACACAGTGCATGGCCGAACTTCCATTCCCCGCCGAACTGAATGAGAGCAGAGAACGGCAGAACCAGGATTCCCGTCACGATGTAACTCGCTGCCAAGTTCCCCATGAGGAGATGCGTGGGGCTCCTCATGGACGAAGTCACCTTGATCACGACCAGCACGAGCACGTTTCCGGAAACGGTGAGGACCACGAAGAGCACAAAGATCACCGCCAGGCCGACATCGGTTTTCTGGAACATCCCGGGAAAACGAAGAGTGACCTCGTCCGGTTCGATCGAAGTCGTCTCCTCCTGGAGATGGCAGCTTTCGTTCGATTCCGCCTCTGTCGCCATCCTCGAAGGCGAGACAGGGACTGGTTTTTCATTTGCCTCCAACACACTCCATGAGACGAATTCACTCGATCAGGCCCCTCCCCCCCTGCCCAGCACTGTTCTTTCCGCGCAGGAACTTTATAAGGTGTGGGGATTCCTCTTTACCCTTGTCTTCATCATTTCCTCCTACCTCAGTCTTTATCGAGATGGAGATAAGGAATATATGTAATAGTTTTCCGCATCTTCATATTCGCTTCTTCAAGAACCGTGGCATCACAGACGGTGATTCTATCCCATCCGACCGGCTCCAATCGCTCGCATTTCCCTCCATCGTTTCCCGTCTATGACATTGGTTTTAATCCCAAGTGAAATAAATTGCATATTTTTGGCAATGTCCGCTCCTCTCGCATTTAGATTTCGGAGCCAATTCGTTCCTGATTGCGTTGAGCACGGAGAAGTCCTTTTAATTGCAATTCTCTTAGATTCACTGTGCCCGGTTTCTTTTCCCCGTTGTTTACCTCGTTTCCAATATCCCATGTATTTGTTCTCTCTCCTGCCTTTCTCGAAGATCTAATGAAGTCGGAAGAGTATTGCTTCATTCATGAGTTTCGTCGCCAGCAGAAAGTCGTACGAGTTGGGAAAATCCAATTTTCCTTTCATTTCCTGCCAAACACGTTTAAACCGCATTCTCGGAATTCAGTCTTGCATAGCTCATTGAAAGCAATCCGTGATTTAATCGAAAAGGAAGAATTTGCGGTCATGCTCTTGGAATATCGTAAAAATACGCATCTCCTGTATCCCGGACAGCATCAAGCATCTCCTCAACGCAAGTAAATATACTTTTTTTCACGAGGTTCTCCAGCCTTCCATGCGGGAAGGCTGGAGAATCTCGTGAAGGCTAGTTCGTCTGATCCTCGGGATCAGACGAACCGAATTAAAATGGCTAACTGATGTAAAACGGCTTCACATTAGAGATAAAAGGGAATTTCGAATGACTGCTTCCGAGATTACTTTTAAGTTTCTGTCTGACTCTCTTCTGGCTCGCTTTCCATCAATTCAATTCGTGGAGTGGTTGCATGCTAGAAATACAAATATGAAGAAATAATTATGAGGCGACATTAAATGATTAAAAAATTCGAGATTGAATGAAAATTTGCACTTGGCGCACATCCCAATGTAAGGAATTTGGAGGTTAATAAATCCACCTCCAAAGACTTGTTCTATTTTTCGAAATGGTCGATGAAACTCACACCTACCTACTCTGGGATCTGAGAATTCCTTGTAATATCGGAAAGGTGACGCGAAGTGACAAGAAACACTTACTGATTTTCGTCACTTTTGCCTCTCGTCAGCAACTGGGCAAATCGTCGTCACGAGAAGAATGAAGGATGGAGATGAGCAGCCTGAAAATCCGGCCGGCCCAATCACCATCCAGGTCGAGCGGGTCGAACCGCTCATCAGGAGGTGGCATGCATTCCTCCATCGGCATGATTGGTCTTTGGACAGAATGGAACGGAATGGAGGAGAGCTCGAGATTATTTGGCGATCCGGTTGGGCTTCCGATGAGGAAATATAGCGTTCTTCTCGTCATTAATCAATGGAGATGTTTTTGAAGCAATATGTGTTCGAAGATCTTAAAGTTATAGTGTCGCATGTTCACGATCGTCCATGCGTTCACATGGCGAGGGTTCACACTAGAGATGAGGAAAGCCTCAGCATCCCTGTTCTACCATGATACGAAGAATTCTGGAATGGCGACCGAGACGAAATTAAAAACAGCTGTGGGTAGCCCAACGTGTCGCTAGGCCGCTTCTCACGCGCCAAGATCCAGATGTATTCGGCGTGAGGTACTTGTAAGAGGAGTTTCTTCTTTAAAAATTATCCAAATTGGCTGCGAATTAATGGGGAGCCCAATGCTGTTAAAAGTAGGGCTATGAAAAACTTTGTTTTTGCCAAAGGTCACTTTTTTTTTTCAAAAGGACACCAAAGGAAACATGAATATGGCATTATAATTTTAAATAATCACTAAAAACGACAATGACAATAGCCAATATTTGCAACGAGACATCATGAGTCAATGCAAAATGTCTGAGTTACCATACATCATCGCAAAAGTGATACGCTTCGATATCAGGCGACGGAACGAATCTTTCTGCAGCAGCTAAGAGTCGTCAGAGGTTTCGGCTTCGACTGGGATTTCTCAATGTGAGCTCTCATGCCCTTTCATCGACGATCGAGCTGAAAAGCTAGGGAAAAAAACTCGAAGACGGGCACTAAAACTCCATCACTCTGGAGAAGTGACCCGACATCAATGAAACTGGAGCAATCCCGTTTCCGAGGTGAAACACGAGAAGCACGCATTTTCGAGTCCAGTCCGCATCATCTCACGCAGAACCCTGATCGTCTCGAATAAAAAAACTGGATGTCGGCCGTCGTGAGAGATAAGTCCTCACCAGTTCCAATTCCCCTAGCAGACCCTGAAGCAATTTTTGAGTATTCCTCCTCCCATTCCTCCTTCTAGATCAACAGCTTAATTGGTCTTTTCTCGCAAACAGAAACAAGACATGAAAGCCGATAGGACTGTTTCAGGGATTCCGAGTCTGAGAAATATTTAATATTCGCGCTACACATTAATATTGGTACTTCAGGGCAACACAACATCCCAATCGGCCATAAATGCTATATCGGTGACCGGCAAGATATTGAAGATGGTCCTGGCCGCACTAGTTGAGAGGACAAGGAACTTGATAACGACTTATATTTAATATCCCACCAATAATAATAAACTTGGCAACAAAATTTTGCTGACTAAATGAAAACAATCTCCTTGTGCCTTTGAACATGGACGGGAGTTTAATACAGCAATCCATTCCAGTTTCTGCTGTGCTGTGCAAATTACAGGTGCCATGGCTGTTTCGAGGTAAGTTCGTAATTATATCTAACCAGCAAACTTGACCATTGGAGCGACTTCAAGAGAGCAGGACCCTCCCTCTGGGTTGTCAGAACTATGCATTTGGAAAGCACATACCCAGTTTGGATGAAGGCAGGCATCTCCCGGGAATGCGAATAAACACCGGGTGGGTCACAGTTCCATTGGAAGATAGTTCTACTCTTATTGGACGGAAAAGGAAGAGATGAAGACCGAAGAGTGCTACCTTTCCGCACAGGGCCGTTAAACGAGAAAGCTCTTTGTTTCTTTTGACATGTGAAATGTGATGATAAGTAAAAGAAAAATGTCATTTCAGGGCATATGGTGAAAATACAAAGGGAGAACTTTGTGTTAGATTTATCAAGTCTGGTGTTGAAATCATTTGGTGAGGGCAATTTGAATTTGTTGATGGAAAGTAACTGCGTGACCAATTATTATTAATACATTCCGGTGATGAATCATTACTTCTTCGTGGCGGTGTCAATATTATTACTTGCTATTTAAAAAATATATCCTAGGATATTAGTCATAATTAGATGACTTGTCGGTTATCGTGTATATAATTATGTGGACGATGTCTAGCTTGGTTCATTGTTTCTAGTCCTCATGAATTAAATTATACGTGAAATTATACGTTAGAGTAATGAACTCTTTTGACCTCTATCCCTAATTGAGCTCGGAGTGAGCATTGGGTCAGCACCGACAACTGCCAGATGCTCTCATGACCCGAATGCCATCTGGTTTATTAAAATTTCTCCTAAACGAGCCTTGATGGAACTCTCATCGACATTCATTTCAATGCAGACATGTCCCATAAGATAACTTCATTTCGGATGACATATATTGCCTCTTTTCTGTCCCAAATTACTGAGAGTTGATGAGGAGTACAAGTCAAGCCAGGTTTAATTCGAAAAATATTATTTTCAGCAATTAATATCAATTTCATTAAATCTTCGACCAAATTTGAACAAGTTCGATCAGCGACATTTTGAATCAACACAACTGACATGGATTGAGATGAAAGTCAAATCACATTACGGATTCAGCATATGCAAAATTGTGCATGCGGAATTTTTCTTCGTGTTATAAGATTATGAACTGATGGAGATGTTCTCCACGATCTGGTATACAATTTCACTTTCTTCAGACACAGAACTGCAGAATATGATTAGCATGAAACATTCAGATTTGCAGTGGAATTTTTAAGGATGACTCCAAATGAGATCAGCAAAAGAGATGAATGAATTACGGAGACAAGCGATGAGTCCATAATTATAGGTGAAGTCGTGACAAAATGATCAAAGCTCCGACATTCACGCCATCTAGAAGAAGATAGCGATGGCAAGAATAACCATCGACCCTGAACACGATACAGCGAAGGATAAAGACGATGGAAGAAGGTGAATGACAACGAGCCAGACACAGATGGAAGCCAGACTAAGCAGCCACGACCCCGACCCTCCCTGCAGAGCATCCTCCGCCGCGCTCTCCAAAACTGTCTGCATGTCCCCGCGTAGACGAACTGGTTGAGCAAGGAGTTGGCGCAGGGGAACCAGAAGTCAGCAGCAAGTTTGGGAATCACCACCAGGGATGCATCACTGCCAATACACAATAGTTCGAAAGGAACAAAATTGAAACGTCAATGAACAGAGATGTGTAAAAGTATCATGAAATCGTGACCTTTGAGCTCTCTTTAGAATAATTTCGATTAACGCTGCCAAATCCGAAATGGATTGATCTGATTCAAATTGGAGATCGATAAAAAATCCAGGCTAAGAAAGTTTCATGCTCGTATCAGTGCAGGAAATAGCTGGAATAACTTTGAAATTATTCTGTCACTAATAGGAACGACTGCAAAGTTCTTCCTTTGTCATGCAAGTGCTCACTCACCTTGACATCGCCTCTTTGGAGAATCGCCCCAATCCCGCCGAATGCGACTCATCTCGACTTCGTCAGCGACGGCATAGCAGCCTCCGCAGCGCCGTGCGAAACTCCCTGGACGTCACAGCGTAAACGATTGGATTGATGAGGGAGTTGGCATAGCAGAGCCAGAAGCTACCGGCCAGCAGTGGGTCCGGGACTCCGCACTGAG